TACAATATTTACTTCGAGCTGTGGCTGCTGAATGCTACAGCGGATATTACTGCTGCTGCTCCTGTTGCTCCTGTTGCTGCTTGCTGCTATTGCTGTTGCTTTTGCTGGTGTGGTTGCAGTTCCTAGGCTCATAGCTGCTTAGGCTTAGGCTTAGGCTCATAGTGCCAGTATATATGTTTGTTTTTCTATATAAATTATATATAGCTATGCTTGGGTTAGTTCCTTATTTTATTGTTAATTTTACTAATACAAAAAGAAGCTGCTTGAAATGCGTAAATATATTCGAGACTCAATCCACTTGCAACCAACTGATTGTCATTGATTTTGTTGGGACAGGCAGACGGCCATCTCGCTCACTTGTCATGAGAGTTGGGCAAAACATAGAGAGACAGAGAGAGCCACGGGACGGATCATACTTTATGAAACAAAACTTTTGCCATCACAGGAAGAATGGAAAGAAAATTTTAATGCTCTAACTCTTTTTGGGCACAGCAACAAATACTCTTTGAGGATCGGTTATAGCATACTTCATTTCGTTTTATGTGTATACTAATTTGCAATAATTTGCAATAATTTTACGTTGATTTCTCGCCTCTAGATTCCGTTTTCCAGCACACAGCTCAACGCTTCTATCGAGATTTTGCAACCATTCCAGCTCAAAGGACAATCAGCTAATGCATTACATACGTTTCGGATGCAAGGAATGTTGTAGCCCAATGTGCCGCACCACTGCAGACAAACAGTCAGACAAACAGCATACATTTGCCCAAAAATGCAAGTAAATATCTACGGCTGAGTGTCCGGCTGCTCTGCTGACTCCACATAACTCTCCCTTGTCTCCATTTGTTGAGGGGTGGGGCGGGGCGGGGCTTTGAGGGCTAAACTGAGCAATAAGCAGGCAATAATCACTTGCAGTTAATTAACATATTATCGCAAATGCAGCTGCAGTTGCAGCAGCAGCAGCAGCAGCAACAATTGCAACAAGAAGGCTTAGATGTTGCTGCTGCTGTTGCTGTTGCTGCAGCTGATGCACTTTGGTAATGCACTTCAAAGTGCTTACACATCAATGCAACGGGCGGCCCAGCCCTCTCATTTACATGCATATAGCATATACAGCAACAATAATTACATGTGCCGGATCCCCCCCCCCCATCACACAGCCGCCGCTTGTGCTCACCCCCCTTAAGCAATCTCTTTCAGGCCCATGCCCCGGCGGTGGCAGCATCCAAGTGATTGTAATTCATTAGTAGACAACAACCAAATGCATTTCCCATGTGCCTGTGTGTTCGTAGCTCTGTAGCTGTAGCTGTAGCTGTATCTGTGTCTGTATCTGTGTGTGGATTATGCAGTTTCCGCTTCAATGCAGCTGCAGCTGCAGTTCCAGTTCCACACTCCCACTGTTGCACGGTTGCACGGCTGTACGGTTGCACGGTGCAGTGTTGATGCAATTGCAGCTGCTGATGCCGCCATTTTATCTAATTGCGTTGCCATCACTTCCACACTGCCTCCCTCTCTCTCAGCGCCCCTTTCCTATGTCTCCTCAAACTCCCTCTTTAATACGCATACGCCGCGTGGTCCATATCATTAAAATTACGAGTGCTGCACACCAACAAAAAAAAAAGCAGCAATAAAAGGAAAAATGCTGTGTAGCCAAGGCGCAGCGAGGGTGGGCACAGAAGTTGGCGGCAGGCAGTAAGAAATGTTTTATTGATGGATTTTAATCACTTCAAGTAGTGCAAAGTTTGAGCTGACCGTTGAGTTTTTAAGCAGAATTCTATTCGGTATTGAACTGCAAATTAAGGCATTAATTCCGTGTACCATATCACTCGCAGTTAGACAAAAATATAGCTCTGTTCTGCTGCAGCTATAACGTAGTCCAGTCTGGGTCTCTCTGGGTAGACCCTCATCTCTAACGCTTCTTTTCTGATCGGCCCTCATAAATTTGTTGCATAGCTGGGCGGTGCGGAGCGAGCGCATTGGAGTGTCTGCAGCCTTGACAACTGCAAGTGGCATTAGTTGTAGCCAAAGCCCAAGCGGACAGACGGCAACGGCCAATGCCAATGGGCAGCAACGAACAACAATTACAATTGCAGGCTTTGCATTACTTTTTCCTAGTACAAGGGATTTGCATTTGTTTGCTAATTGAAATTAAGCAAATAATGCAGAAGGAGGGCAGGCATCCCCAAATGCTGCCAGAGATGCAAACAGAGAGAGAGAGAGAGAGAGAGAGAGCAAAAATGTGGGGTGTGGAGTGCGGGGTACTTGACCCACGTAATCCTTTTGTAGCGCATTAAAACAAGAAGGGTCCCCAGAAAGACAAAAAAAAAAAAAAAATAGAAAAAAAAAAGAAAAACCAGAAAATAAAATAGAAATGGTGAAAGGGTTCTGCCTGGCTGGGTTAAATAATTTAAATCCATTTGTAGAACATTTGATGCTGCCTCTTGGCAATTGTCACGCCGCCGCCCCAGCCCCAGCCCCAGCCCCAGCTCCAGCCCCAAGCCCACCGTCAGATAATTAGTAAGGAAAAAGCAACGAAACCCAAAAAGAGATCCCCATAATCAAATGTTTAAAAAAAGATTTGCCAAAGTAAATCCCAAGGAATTATTTGCCACTTGAAACGTTTAAAAATGTCAAACAAGTTTCATGGATGGCTGCTTGGATGGCTGCTCGGATGGATGGATGGATGGATGGATGGATGGTAGAGGCCGTAGTCGAAGCTGATGCTGATGAGGGTGCCCCAAAAGACGACGCGACTGTGACCCCGCTGCCCTCTCCCCCCAAAAACAAAAAAAAAGCAATCTCTCGCCTTTTGAGGGGTCAGACAAACTTAATGAGCAAATTGTCAAATGCCGCGGCAAAGCGAGCACTTAGACATGCCCGGGAACACCCTACCATACACCCCCCTACCCCACGCCACAGGAAAAGAAAAATAACTTGGTGAAAGCGGAGACCCCGATAAAGCTGCATAGCAAAATGGAAAAGTACAAAGTTGTCGCTGTTGTTAGCCATGTTTTGTTGGGGATTTGAATAAACAGTTACGCTGATTTAATTTGGCCAGCAAAAAATATACAACAACGAAAAAAAATTCTAAGAAAAAACGAAGAAGAAGGAAAACCGAAAAGCGAGAAAAATGATGATGTGGGCTGGCAGGGCGGAGGGGCGAATTCTATCACAGTATGTTGTCTGTCACCCTCGATTTGATTTTTAAATTGCGTTCGTGATAAATTGACGAAATGAACAGCAATAACGCCCCGAGAGCCCCCCCCCCTACCCAGTAGCAACAACAACAGCAGCAGCACCAACCCCCCCCATACCCCCAAACACGAAAAAAAAATCTCAAACAAAATTGACAACTGTCAAGACTGTCTGCTGTCTGAACGCCACCGCCGCCGACGCTGCTGCCAATCCACAGAGGCATCGCCGATCTGCCACTCCCCCCCCCCCCCACCACACAGTAGACATATAAAAATTAACTACAGACTACTTATCTTATTTGTTGATGCCAGAGCGTCGAGTCATGAGTCGCAGTCGCAGTCGCAGGACAGGGCACAGGAACAGCCGATGGAATCCCCAGGAGCAGCGCCAACAAAAAGTTTGTCAGCGGCTTTTGATGTCTCTCTCTCTCTCTCTCTTTTTTTTATGAGAGTTCCTGAGTGTGTGTGGGTGTCTGCGAGTGTGTGGGTGTGACAATATGCGATGACAGGGCAGGAAGTAAGCAATCAACTCTCCCACTGATATTCCAAATGGAAATGACCAAAAGCGAAGCAGACAAAGCTAAAGAAAAGGCTCTTGAGGCGGCTCATATGATGACTATTATCAATACCGTTACTTTCCGCATAGCTTTGCAGCATTATTTATGTCTCAGATCGAAGTAAATTAACTTCAATATTACACCGAAAGTACAACAGTTTTATTTGTTTTTTTTATTGGTAGTTTTAGCTTTAGATAGACCTACCATCCAATGCACCATCGCAGAGTATGCAATGGGGTAGTGTTTGTGCACAAGATCCTGCTCGGGATTGGGACTATCAGTTCCCTTTAGACCCGTACTTTGAAACTATGCCCAGCATGAGCCGTTCCGAGTGCTATGTCATTATTAATAGTTCCATATCCCCCGAAATGTCCCTTAAAATCATAGCACTTAATATCTACCATTATTTGAATTTAACAAATATATAAGACTTTTATATATTTTTTTTTTTGTTCCTCTTCCTATCTGTATTTATCCTTACTTATATTATTAACATATTCCATAATGAAAAGCATAATTGCAAATAATTGATAATAAATAAAATTAATAAAAAATAAATAGTCTTGAGCCACTGAGCTTTTTCAGCAGCTGTTTGAAGTTTGAAGCAAAGAGTCAAGCTTTGTTAAGTGCAAAATATGTGATGTATTGTGGTCTATTATAGCGGTCGAACAGCAGTGAAAGATTCGAGTCAAGTGGATAGGATCCACGCCAGACGATGTCAAATTGAAGGCGATGTGCGAGAAGTGTGCGAGAAGATTCAGACTAATTCAGCGTCAACAATAATGCAATAATACCCCAATAAAAGCGAGTGTGCGACAGATCGAAAGAGCGAAAGAAAGACGCGAGATATATACCTATATAGAGCGCGTTTTGTATGTTTGTAATATGTAATATAAAATATGTGACGATAGAAGTAAGAGACCAACCAGATCAAGACTATTTGCGAGGGCAGAAGGGGCCGAACTGTCCGTGCCCCAGGCGATGCTTAGACTAGAGCCCGAGAGAGAGAGAGAAACAAAGCAAGGCGCGAGATGAAGAGACGGAAAAACTATTGCATAGCCTGCTGCCCTGCGTATATGTGGATATGTGACTAAAAACAAAGTACAGTGAACAGAGCAAGCAACGAACCATAACAGAATTTACTTTACTGCTGGCACACCACTGGCTGTGGTCTATGTACCACTGGCCAGTATTTGGCTCAAGACTTTTTGCGTTTAAAGATCTCAGATTTCATTGCGTAGTTACTCACCTCTGCCGCTCCTGCCCACAAATCGCAGATCATTGAACTTGGCCACCTGATTCTTCATGACCGCCGTACAGTTGCGCAGCTCACCACAGAAATTCTCATCGTTGCCCGCCCGAATGGTGACTATGGTGCCGTCCATGACCTCGCCCAAGGCCAGCACCTTGAAGGCAATCGGCAGCGTTTTGTTTGAACGCCAATGCGTGGGCAATGTGGTGCAGACCTTAAATCAATTATAGGTTTATTAATTATACATATTATACAGTTATTGCTTAGCCTACTGGCTGCTTACCACATGGGGTGAGCCCGTCTTGACCAGCTCGCCGGGATGCTCGGCGAGCAGGACGTCGACGGTGCGCTCGATGAGATTCTCTGGTGTCAGATATGGACTGGTATCCACGGGTTTTGTCTTGGCATTATTATTACTGCTATTATTGTTGTTGTTGTTGTTGTTGTTTGTGGTACTATTGTTGTTGTTGTTATTATTGGAGGAAGACTCTGCATTGCGCCGCTTCGTGGTGCTGCCCGTTGTGGTTGTTGCTGTTGGAGTCGTTTGCTGTTGGTGTTGCTGTTGCTGCTGCTGCTGCTGTTGCTGTTGTTGTTGGTGTAACTGTTGGTGAAGCTGTTGATGCTGCTGCTGCTGCTGCTGTATTTGATTTGAGGTGGTCGAACTGACCTCAGCAGAAATGTGCATTATTGCAGCTGCAAGGTATTCAGTGTTGCCTCTCGTTTCAGCTTTGAATACGTCCTATCCGGCTGTACTGCTGTTGCTGTTGCTGCTGCTGTTGCTGCTGCTGCTGCTGACGGTTTTTTGGTTTTTTTTTGGTTTGATTTCAATGTTGCCTCAAAGAGTCGACGCTTTCAATCCGATCATTGTCAGCTCATTTGGTCAATCTGGAAAATAAATGTGAATGCAAATGATTCGTGTGGGCTGTTCTTTCAAATGAAATGCACTGGAAAACAACTTTAAGAACGTTTCTTTTGTTGCAATAAAATATTTTACTGTTGGCTGGATTTCTGTCTCTCAAAATAAGAAAAAAAAATTAAAAATTAAATATTTTTAATTAATTAAGCAATAAAAGTGATAGCAAATGGATCCTTAATGCAATTTTCACTATTAACAAACTTCACACTTCGCAAAAGCTTTGTAGAAATCTTTTTTTGGAATACGCCCAGTGAGAATCATAATTTTTTTTTTTTTTTGTTGGTTCTGCAATATCCTCTTTTGTTCATTTCCTTCTTTGTTTTCACATTCGCTGCCCGCATAAGTAGGCAGCTATTTTTTTGTATATTTTTTATGCTGTCGCTGTCATCGACAACAACTCAATTATTATTGCACTTTCAACCAGTACAGAATCGGTGGCAGTTGCTGTATCTGCAACTGCATCTGCATCGGCAACTCCACCTGCATTTTGTCTCTGAATATGGCCACAGGCGACATGGACTGAAACGAACCCGAAACCGATACCAAAACCAAAACCAAATCAAACCAAACCGAACCGAACCGCACACCTTTGCGCACAATTTGCATTTAAGCCGCCATCGGCGAGAGCAGCTCAATTAAATATTAAAAAATCATAACCAATAATGATGAAGAGCTGAATGGGAGTTAAAAAAAAAAAAAACACACACACACAAAATGAGTATGAGTCGCTGACGATGACGATGAAATGGAGTCAGCTGAGCCGTAGGCCAATGCATAAACTAAGATGTATGACGGCATCTGTTCCGTGCCGCATGCGAAACAAAAACAACAGAGAAAAAAAAAACACACACACAAAAAAAAAAAAAAAGTTCATTTCATGTTCGTCAAATGGGGAAAAAAGAGAGAGAGAAAAATTATCGAAAGCGCCAGCTGTTGCCAGCCTGTGTTTGGCCACCAAAAAATCAACAATGCTCGCTGTCCCCAACACACACAGATGCCCATACACTTCTCGTGCATGTAGTGGAGGGTGTGGTGGGGTGGTAGCTCTTGTATAAATAAAAATCATTTGCAGGACCCAACCAGTCGCGTTTGGTTTTCGCTACGTTATTTTTTACCAACTACTTTTCGTATTAACTCGTTTAAGGGCATACAAACTTTGCCCAGACGTTTGTCAGGAGCAGTGAGAAGAAATAGAGTTTTGAATGCAAAAATAATAGAAGCAAAATAAGGATACAAAGATAACATATATATTTATATATGACATGCATTTTAGTTGCAGAAGATTGATAAATCTGTGCAAAAGCTGAGATCGTTCTTCGGTAACTCCAAGTGGAAATATTTCTTCATTTATTTGAATTGACAGCATGGATCGACAGTATTAACTGGCTGCTCGATTTATAGTTTTCAATAAGGAAGAAAAACACCAACGAGTAAAACATTATTCTTAGGAGAAAACTAATTTTACTACTCGCTGGAACTGCTGAAGTGCCAGTTGGAATACATTTTCTTGTAGCTATGTATTTAAATATGTCAGACATACGAAAGATCAGCTTAAATCGATCACAGATCACTTGATCCTTTGCTTTAGAGATCCAATTACTTATGCGTAGATATGCAAGTGTATTTAAAGCTTCGGACCATTAGAAGGCACTCCTTTTCCCCATGTTTTGTGCTGTAGAACCAAGTGTTGCCTGTTCATATACACACACACATACACGCACACACATGTGCAATCTGTAGTTCAAATGTATTCACTTTTTTACAACTTCCGCTTTGAAATGTACAAATATACATATGCATATATCTACATATATGTATGTGCACATTTGTATATTTATATATATTTTTTTATTTATTTTTTTCTGCAGCTGTATGCAGCTATCCGGCCAAATGAGCTGGCCAAGCGACTATGTGGCGACATATGTGGCCACAGATACGAGAGACAATGCCAGCGGACTGGGATCGGAGTGAGAGCAGCAGCAGCAGCAGCAGAAGGTGGTCCATATAATTGGTTAACAAACAAGTTGGTTGGCGGGGCTAGCCACACAATTAGATCAACAAATGCAAATGAACTTTTGTGGCAAAATAACTGAATTAGTCCGTCAGGTTAGAGCACAGCAGCAAGAAAAATGCAAGTTCATGCCAAATGATAATATAAGCAAACAAATCATAAATTGCTCCATATTAATATTACAAAGTTAATACGAAAGGATGCTAAAATAAGTCACAAATGATTTTGGCTTTTAATTTTCAACTGATTTAAGCTAAATCTTGGCAGAGTGCGAGTGTACGGAGTTTACTGCAATCGGCTTAAATCACGTGTAAAATATACGCATAATAAATTGTCTTAACGATCTGCAAGATCCTGACATACTTTGACCGGCTAACCTTTTTTTAGTTCTCTTTAAATTGATAAGACTTTCAGCATTGAGCTGGCGATCAGTTTTCTATACAACTGAATTATGATGGGTAATAAGAAGAACCAAATGAATAAAAAAAATTGTTATATGTAAGTAATAATAATAAAAGTTAGATGAGTTATTATAATAAAAAAATAGTTTATGCTTTTCGGTGATTAAATACTTTTGATAATATCACTAGACATTTTTTGAGCGTTCTAAAAAGAATAAAAACTGAAGTAACCCTTCGGTTTTATTCCGGTGATCCTTGGATTAAGTTTAATCAAAAAATTACAGTCTTAAAGGTTTTAATAATGTCATAATATGATTACGTCATAAAACAATCAAAGTTTTAGCTCTTGAGCAGCTCTCTGCATATCCACCATAGCTGTATCGTGCCTCAAGTGTCGCCCATCATAATGACTGATGATCCCGGTGCCTGTACACATAATGAATCCAATGTTAAGTTCTTAAATATTTCTCTAAATCTACCCATTGATCTTAAGTATATTATCACATAATTTCACTTAATTTTTGACCCTTTTTGCTTGACCAAAGAAATACTCTCAACGAAGACCACATTATTTATTTTGTTGTTTGCTCCTTCGACTTACATTTCGTGATATCTTTTGTCCGCACTGGTCCGAAACACTTGTTATCGGTTAAGATTGTATTTGACTTGATAAAAATTCCTCTCCAACGATTTTTATGAGGTTTCCCTTTCGGTTGGAGCACAAGAAACACTTGAAAAAAATGATTTAATTTTGTGGAACTCTTTTAAAATAAGTATCAATATTCAGAATGAATCATGAGGCTGTGGGGGATCTATGAGAATTTATCGAGCACACGGCACACTAACACTGAAGACACTGGCACGCACACACACACACACACACACACGCACGCCTACACACACGTACAGGGCGAGAGAAAGAGAGAGAGCGAGCGAGCGAGAGCGGGAAATTGTGGCTGAGATTGAGACTGTGGATCTTTGGCTGTGGCTGAGAGACTGGCAACTCTGGCGATCGAATCAAACGACACGGAGATATTAAACTATTTTTTGCGGTAACCATGAACGCGACCACTACGAGCGGTTGGCAACGCCGACCACGGCGTCGCAGCGACGCCAGCCGCGACAGAGCAGAGGCAGCGAGCAACGAGGCAGCAGCCAACGACGAGGACGAGGACGAACGAGGACTAGGACGAGCTGGGGGCAGAATGTTAGCGACGCCTCATCATAATCATGGACGAAGGGTCCTGGGTCCGGGTCCAAGTCCACCCACTCCCACTGCCACTTCCGCAGCGCTGCTGCGACATTACCCCGCCCCCAAAATTGACGGCAGCAGCAGCCGCCTTCGTCTGCTGCTTCGTTTATATTATTTTTTTATTTTTTTGCTCCCGCTCTTGGGGTATATAATTCTTTCTTTCGTTTTTGGCTTAACATTTACCGCGAGAACCAGTAGCAGTGGTTTCTCCAAGGCAGCGACGCTGGCGCAGTAGTCGGCTGCGCAGCTGGCGCTGGCAGCGGCAACGGAAAGACGAAAAAGAAAAGCAAAAGCTTAGGCTAAGGCAAACGAAAAACCGAAAACCGAAAACCAAAACCAGAAAACGTCAACTGCACCACAAGCAGAAAGGCCGCAACGACATCTTCAAGTTGGTCCACCTCAACATTCACCACACCACCCACCCCACCCACCCACACACCCACACAGCCCCACAAACAGAGCAAGCAAGCAGCAGGTCCCACCCACTCCCAGCACAGGCCCAAGGAGCAGGCCCACCATTCAACTCAAGCTCAATTCGCGGCATAGAAAAATTGCGCTCAATTTTTTGGCGCACCTTTTGGACCCAAGGACTGGAAAAAATCTTGAGAGCACCAGAGAGGGTGAGTGCTGTCTTGAGTTGAGTTTTCCCCAGCTTTGGAAGGCGTTACGGAGTGGTGAACTTTCTCTCTGTGTGTGTGTACCCCCCGAGTACCCCCCCGCTTTTTTTTTGTTGCTGCTTATGAATTTCCATTAGAATTTTTTCTTAGCTCGCTTGCTGCGCGCAACCCCCATAAGAATTTTGTCTTGGAATTGACTCAAGCAGTGCAAAAAAATCTCAAACTTCGGCGCAAAGCAAAAAAAAAAAACAAAACAAAAAAAGGCTAGAGCGAAAGAAAGAAAGAAAGAAAGAAAAGAAAGTGGAAAGCAAAAGCGAAACGAGACGAGACGAGATGAGACGAAGCCAAGCCAACGCGGCTTTGCGGCAAGCCTCTAGCTAACCAGGAATTGCCGGCACCAGGAAAGAGAGAGAGAGCCGAGCCGAGCCGCGCCGCAGTGCAACAGAAAGAGAGAGTCTCAGCGCTGGGGCTGGCCGCACAGGAGCGAGTGAGAGAGGTGAAATCTTGCGGCTGCCATTTGCGGCCAAGAAGACGCAGTAGTAGTGTCCCCCACACCATCGCATGGGGGGGGCCCACCTAACCTTGAGTGAAAAATTGCAACCACATGAGGGTGGGGCAGAAGCAAGCACCGAGCACCGAGCACCGTGCCCCCCATGCCCCATGCCCCTCTCAGGGCGGAGTTTCCTTTTCGGTTCTTGACATTTCTTTTCGGATTCGGGCATTACTTTTCGTTTTGTTTTGTTTTGTTCTGGTTCTGGTTCTGTGCTGCTCTGCTCCTTTCGGTCGCTCAGCATATTAAGGATTCAACCCTCCTCCATTTTGCGGTTTTCTTCGCACCACGCGAAATATCCAAAAGATGCAAGAGGGAGGCGGTTGGCGGGTGGCGGGAGGCGGTCGTGCTACTGTGGTGGTAGTCGTGGTCTCCGTGGTGGTGGATGTGGATGTGGATGTGCATGTGTGTTTGTGTTTCTGTCAGTCGACGGTTGCGCAGCAGCTGAAGGGTGTCCTGTGTGTCCTGTGCCTGTGCCTGTGCCCGCCAGTGGTTGGGCATTATGAAACCGCAAGAATTATCATACGCTGCGGTCGATTACTATATCAAAACCCCTCTAATCAGGCAGCTCTGATGCTGACAGGCCGCTCCGCAACCACTATATGCCGGGCGGGTAACCGCAAGAGAGCCCCGCGGCCATCGACTTCTGGCCAACCAAAACTACGCGTTCCGCTCGAATTCTGGCAGCCAATGGGCGGATCTTGAGTCGCTCGCAAGGCGCGCTGCTCCAACAAAACCTTGGCAAAAGCCCACCGAGCCATGCAAAAATGGTGGAAAACCCAAAACGAGGCCAAAAGAGGTGCAGCCGGTAGAAAAAGTACAATGTTGCCTCCCCATTAAATATTTTTGCGCAAGTTGTCTTGTTTTCTTATAAACAATTTGCAGCATAAGTGAAATACCCAAAAAGAGTTTTTTATTTGTCAATTTAAATTAAAAAAAAGTATGTAAAAATAAATAAATATATAAGTAAATAAATCGTAGATCCTACACTGATTGATTAGTAGACTCACTGGCCTGCCATATTTATTTTTATAGGAATTGTTTTGTGTGTCTAATTTACCTTCAGCCTTTGTCCAGTACTTTTATTCAATTATTCTTCCATAAATTTAATTATATATGTCGTAAATGGCTGCAATATCTTTGTATAAACATGTTTACACAAGTCTCTCTTAGAAAGAACTTTATTTAAATCGATATTAAATAGGAACAATTTGATTCCATACACTCTAAGCTAGTACCATAATTGTCGCCATGTATTCATGGGTATACAAAAGTGTTCTGCACTTTACAGTGGCCACAATGTAACAAAGAATGACAATAAAATGTGAATGCAGTAATTATATTAATTTAATATAATATATATATAATATTTATTAATATATATTAAATATATTATGATAAAGTATTAAAAATGTATTTTCTTAAAGCGGAACCACCAATCTTTATGGTATATCAATCTAACCCCTCCCCAAAGACAGTGTCATTCCAATTAGGACATTTCTGCATATGTGAGTAGTGGGAATATATAGGTTTGTGTGCTTATCATTAGCCAAACACTCATGCACACTGACACACACACACACACACGGGGCTCATCGATAACATCCTTTCACAGACCAGCCCCCCCCCACACCCTTAAAACTGCCACTAGCCCAAGACCTGGTCTTGTGCCAGCCTCTGCAACAACAACAGAAGAAAACCAAGCCAATTAAAACGATAAACCAAAAATGCCCAGAGGCGTCAACCAAGAGGGTAAATAATAATGAGAACTGCAAGCGGCTGAACCAAGAACCAAGAACCAAGAAATTAAGGATCACTTTTTCAGGACGAAGCACCAAATACCCTTGCATATGCAACCGATAGAATATAGCTTCGAATTAAATACGAATAATATTTTCTGTCGATTCTACTCGTTCCTAATGGCAGCAATACGATAAAGATATTTCAGTGTTCCTACCTAAACCTATGGAACATCTAGTTTAAAAGATTAGATTTATTATTATTATATATTATATTATATTAATATATTATTATTTATATATTATATTATTATATAAATCAAATGAAGAAAACATCTACTTAGAGTATATTTTCTTTGTGTTTTATCAAACACTGCTGAATGCATCTGCGGTGTACGTGGAAATCATAGTGCCCCCCAACCCCCCCGCGCCGCCACTCTGGCCACTATGCAACGCCCCTCTTCCTGCAGCAGTCTATGCCCGCTGCCTGCGTCACCCAAGCGCTCAAGTGCCCGTAGTTAGAGGCAACAAAAGGCGTTCAAGTTGCAAGACCGCTAAGCAACGATCCACCAACAACCGCTGTACCCCCCACCCACACGAAAAACCCTACACCTCGTCTCTCCCTCTGCGGAGAGTGCGAAGGGGGTGGCAGGACAATTATGAAGCAAGTTGGTCCGCACTTCAAGGCAAAGAATGAGATTTTGTGCAAATAATTCCAAAGTGGAACGACAATGGATGGAAAGCGGCGACAAGTGGAATTCAAGTGTTGCAGGCAGGTGGGTCTGTGTTGGGTCTGTGCTGGGTGTGTTGGGTGGGGTGGTGCCACTTTTTTTAATGGCCTTCGGCGTGCCACCATCCAACCATGCTCTCACCCTCTCATGCCGCTCCTTCCGTCAGGCGTTTTGTGTTGATTTTTCTTTTAATTGTTGCGGATTTGCATTCTGACACATTTGTCAACCTCAACGTCGGTGGCACAAAAGGATGCCCTAGGAGGGCGGAGAAACAACTGGCACCGGGGGGCCCAGGAAGGAACCCTGGGATGAGGCAAGGTTGGTTTATTATTTATTAACCCAAAAGACACGGAAAGGGGTAGGCCAGTGTGTGTGTGTGTGTGTGTGTGTCAGGTCCGTTGGGATAATAATAAACGCCAACCAGTCGGCCAGAGAGTGCTCCCCCGCCCCCACTCAAGTCATTTGTCAACGAGGGAATAGAAGACCCAACAATGCAGACACTCGCACAAAAAATTGTCCACTTAAAGTTTATATTTTTTTTTTGTTATTTAATTTTTAGTAGCCCATATTTTGGCTACGATTAAACCACAAGAAACTGAAGCTTGCTGAAATATCTTTAGCTTAGCTTTCAATGCCCATCAAACTTTGATCTTTGGTGCAACAACTGACATGATTTTTTGTTTCAGTGCATGGCACGAGAATGGGAATGTGTGTGTCGTCGGTGTGTCGTTGTGTTTGAGTGACATGTGTCAAAACTGAAAAACTACGCGAATTTGTGTCAAATACCCTTGTCAGCACGTTTCAAGTGCTGCAACACTCTGGCCCCAAATGCCCTTTGCCCACTCCCTTAAAGCCATCCCGCCACTTCCCTAAGCTCCATCATAAAAAAAAAAAAACAATGATAAATACTCGCCAGGTAACAAACGTAAAGGAGGTAAAGGAGTGTGGGCAAGCGTTGGCGTAGTGTGTGTTTGTGTAAAAAGTTGAGAATTCTATGCGGAAATTTCGTCACGTCATAATGAAAGAGTTTGAATGGGGCAGGGTATGGTTTGGGATGTACAATGGAACAAGTTTTGGAAGCAGTTAAGTGTCTTCATCGAATAAGAAAACCAGATTTAGAGCAGAAACAAAACACAGATAGGTCGAATGAAGGAGTCGAACATTTGCTTAAATTAATTTGAACCACAATTAAGCTCAAGATTAACTGAAATGACAGACGGGGGCCCGGGACGGGAAAGCTTCGGAGCGAGCGATCGCGAGAGAAAGAGAGCGACAGAGAGAGAGCTTGGGCTTAGAGCTGCTCAACCGAGCTACGCGCGCGAGCGAAGCTTCGATGCAGGTAGCTGCAGGCACGAAGAAGGCGGCACAAAGAAACGAAAGCACGTATGCTGCTGCTGCCGCTGCCGCTAGCACTGCCGTGCATAATCATACATAGGACAATGTTTACAATGTATGCACTGTGGGCAAATAGTGCAAATAGTGGCCAATAATGATTTACGATGAGGCTGCTCCGCTCCGGCTTAGAAAACCCAACAGTTTATGATCCAGAAAGCAGCTTGGAAGGGACTGATAAACAGAAGTACCTTTTCCCAGTTGCATACACAAGCATGCATACTTACTTATGTATTAGGAGCTAAGATCTCAACCCATAACCTATGCATATTTAAGTTCTTTACACTAAGCTTCTGAAAAACAAAAATTGTAATAAAATTATTAATTGATTAATTGTAATAATATTTATAGCTAATTCAATTAATTAGTAAATAAAAAATCGCATGCTAAAATAATTAATTTGTGCATAGTGCAAGCAGCACAAATAATGCAAGCAGTCACCATAAATGCTCAACGAGTTGGCAGCTCATGCTCAGAAATTATTTGGTTTTTAAGCGGGCCTTTTGGCGCGCTGCTCTTGTCAATACATTATTTACTAGTATGTATATTTGTACACAACGAAAATAACTTCATTGGCTATCATTGAACAGTCAATACGTTTGATGTAACATTTTCACAACGAAAAATAACTTGACTAGCTATAGTTCAACAATTTGTTAAGCTCTGAATATTCGCTGAATATTCGCTGAACATTGGTAAGTAAATGGGGAACAGTGTGCGAGAGCCCGATATTAATCTAAGAATTCACAAATAAAAGCACAAATATCAGCAAAATGGATCAACGCGACTCAATACTGAATCCCACGGCGGCCCCTCTACCGACACCTGAGCAGATAGAGCAAATGAGGAAGAAGCTTGATGCCAAGGAAGAATTGCGAAATTTTCGAAAATCTGTCAGAAATCAAATCAACGAATTTGCCAAAGATGATCGGGCATATATCGAGTTGGAGGCCGTGGATAATGTGCATCGCATGGCCATTTATGATATTGCTGCAGAGGCCGGACTCGTTTCGCTCTTTTTGGAGCGCCAATCGTTGGTATACAAGAGGGAGCATTACCCCAGCGAGGATGAGATAAAAGCGCGTCAGAACGGTGAAGTCTGGAACGAGGAGAAGGCAAAAGAATGCGCCGAAAAAAGAAAAAGAGCGCAATTGGCCGAAAAGCCGTGCAAAAGAATGGCTATCCCAGCAGAAGCAGGCTGCGCCACAAACATAGAAAATACAGGGGGCAAGGTAAAGCCCGTGAGTGCCTGCAACGCTAGGCAGGGCGATCTGATAGGGACAACAAGGGCCCCCAAGACGGCCCTGGAGCAGCAGAAGCAACGTACGGCACTGCAGAAAGAACGGCAGCCACAACAGCAACAGAAGCAGCAGAAGCAGGAGCAACAATAGCAACAGCAGCAGCAGCCTCAGGAGTATCTTCCCATCGATCATCAAGAAAAGCAACTACATTTCACACACTAGTCTCTAGGACTGCCTCTTTATTTATAGGCACACACAACAACATAAAACAAAAAATGGTTTCTTGGGCATTGTGATTTCAGCAAATAAATACCAAACACACAGAAATAAATTGAAAAGGGTTTAGAAAGGAAGCTGCACGCACTTTACAGATGACTTCCATGTACTGGGGTTTCCATGTGACACAACCCATCGCCAGATCAGCCTCAGATATTCAGTGTCATGGGAGTGGTCCCCTTTGGGGCATCGCATGGGATGCTGCACCCTCATGGCAATGTAGCTTGGGCAGATCGAGTACGCAGAGTTGAGTTCAGTTTCTGCAGCCTGCAGCCTGCTGCCTGAAACCATCTTTATTTTCCATTCGCCCTACTTTCAATTGCACATTGCACCCAAGACTTGCTGCCTCATTGTATGGCACAGGCCGGCACCATTTAGCTGCCCGCACATGGGCGAATCTATCAGACTGGTTGCGTCACTATATTCGTCCTGATATTAGCATACATATTTGCATATTGCTTTCCTTACAGTTCTCCTTAGGAAGAGTTCCACGGTATAAAGTTGGGCAATAATATTATATTATTATTAAAATAATAAATACCTTCCTTCCAAAACGAAATTTTTGACTTGTTGGGATGCAGGCAGGTTAATTATTTACATTTTTGAAAGATTCTTGAAAGGAGGTTTTTTGTTTTTCCCTTTTTAATTTTTGTTTTTTTTTTTATTTTTTTGGTATATAACTTCTTTAAATCTTGTACCCTTAGCTGCTATTCTGTTTGTTACAAAACTCAGCAAATATTTAGATGAATTTTATTTATTCTTCAAAGTGGGCCAAGAAAACTGAATGTCACAATATTTATGTTTTATACTTGATATCAGAAATCATAGCAACTAAATACCATTGCAAAAGCTGTCGACCAGATAGTTATTCATAAATTAAACTATTACACACAGTAATAAAAATAATATTCACCCAAATTGCGCATTAAATAATTGTGAGTAAATAACAAAGAAAACCAAAGAAAACCGAGATAAAATTTTAACTTTTAGCACAGAACCTCACAGCGATGACAGAAGGCAAGTTGGAAGCCCTGGCGGATAGTTACTTAGACGATTCAAATTCAGTGCTCCCAAACGATCGGGCATCTCCGAAGGAGCTTATCAATTGTCTACAAAAAACCAAAATTCCTCGCCCCCTAACAGGGGGCCCCCACGCAAAGCCACGCCGGTTTAATCCATTTTTATATGAGAAGCAGCAGCTTTCCGAATCAGAATATCTTAAGACTCGTACAACGCTGAGCAGCTGCACAATTCAGGCGATTTTTTCCGATGGCTATTATGGGTATTATTCATGGAAGCCCATGGGGCGCATTATTTATCTGCCGAACACCAAAATTCCTGAGCCTGTGCTATTGGGCCGCTATGTGCTTCCACGTAAATATAGAATGATCTTCCCCTCAAACAATGATTGGTCACATGCACTATAAACGTTTGCTCCTGTTCGCTGATGTTTGTTTTGTTTGCCTTTTAATATAAATAAATATTATTAATTGCAAAAGTGCCACATACTCTTTTGTTTAGCTTCTGCAAAGTTTTATTTACGATAAAAAATAAGTTATTTTTATTAGGTATAAGTTAGCCAGAAATATGACTCTTCCAGCCCTCTTTTTTGGCTTCAACTGTAACTAAAGAATTACCAAAAAATATTTGCAGCCCTTAGGCGAGTGTCAAGTGCCGTAAAAACCTCTGCCGCCCATCCAATCAACCACCAAAGACAGCCCATATACCATATCCAATCATAAACAAAAAATATAAATGGCAAAAACTGCAATTTCACAAAATTTCGCAAAGTTCACATTAAGCGTTGGCCGTTTATTTATTTTTTGTTTTTTTTTTTTTTAGCAGTGTGTGTGATCTGTTTGGTGACGAGTAACGGAGTCTATAAAACGTGCAGGTCCATAAAAAACAACAACAACAACAACGACAGCAACAAAAATCGCACTGAAATCTATCGGATCGGTTGCCAAAAAAACAAATCATAAAACGCGGTTTACAGCTCCCATGTGTGTAATCGGCGACGTTTAACGTGGCTCTGGCGACGTCTATGGGGGGCTGCCACTCGCCCTGGATTGAGGGGGAGAATATGACTGAGACACAGCCATTTTCACCCACCACACGTACACACAAACACACACACACACACACACACGCACATACATATGTACTATATGCTTGCAGCATTTTGGCGGGTCTGGGAATCGTCCTGGGAATATTCACAAAAGTTGCAGGCTAACAATTTTAAAGTAGAAACAAAAAAAAAATTGTAAAATAAAACAAATTGAAATCTTATTTTGATTTCTTTACGGCGGGGCTCAATCACAATTTTGATATGAGTTTAATGGGTATGCTTGAGGGCAGAGAAAAGGGGCGGAGGCAGGCGCTGGAGGTGGTTCGAATAGTCGGTTAATGCATGCAGAGCTATCCACCGATCTGCTGGCTATTTTTCAGCTTCAATTTTCTGGTAGGTTTTTGGTCTGCCAATTATGAGACCCAAACATTACTTCTCTGCCATATCCCTATCCCATATGCTAGGGCTCCTCAAGAAACCATTCTGCACTCCCAAATATGTCTCCTTCCGCTCTGCTGTGCTCAGTTCTCAGAGCACCTTCCGGCTCCTGCAGCTTCCGCTACTGCATACACATCCAAGGGTCCGAGTGCGAGCCATAAAAAAGTGCCGAGCTGTTGGTGCGTGCCAAGCATAGCTAAAATCGAAAATCCATATTTGTTTTAATGGTCGCCGGCAACAGGAAGACCTGGACTCGAAGAATGACAATAACCATAAGGCCTGGGCATAATAATAAGCGACTAAGTGAGTGGTTGAGTGGGTGACAGCATGGGCATGGGCATGGGCATGGGCATGGGCATGGGGATGGGCCTCAATAATGACCAGAAGCGTTCAAGAAATGCTAGCCAAACGTGCTCGATATTCAATAACCACACAGGATGGCCGGGGTATGGCTGGGGTATGGCAGGGGTATGGCTGGGGTACGGTTGGGGGGGTGTGGGTCAGGACATAAAAAATTGAATTGAACATTTCCTGGGTACGAAAAGTTGTAGCGCTTATGGCAACCATGTGGGCAACCGGACAACGGCCCATGACTGACCCATTCAATTAAGCATGAAAAAAAAAAGAAGCGAAGATGTAAAAGGGCGTGTGTGTGTGTGTGTGTGTGTGGGGGGGACAGTGGACGTGCCATGGATAGTCCATAAAAAAAGGACATCACTTAAAGGAGGTTCAGAGCTTCGGTATTTTGGGGGGAGGGGCAGGGAACTCTATCCAGGCCGCAACAAAACACGCATCACTTGTCACACATACTTAGCAGGCGGCCCAGAGGCAGCCCGAGGGGTAGAGCCAGTGCCAGTCGAGTCCAGCCAATGGCATGGACACCACTCAGCCAAGCCAAGCGGCAGTGGCAGTGCCAGTGGCCCCCTCATTGTCATGTCCTGGTGTTGTTATTGAGGTGTAATACAATTTTTTGCCATGATACCCCATAACAATGGCAGAAGCGCGCGAGACACGCAGAGAGAGAGAGAGAGAGAGAGAGACACAGAGAGACGAAGAGACAGAGAGGAGAAACGCAATCGGAAAAGGATAACGAGGACGGTCACATATGGCGGCATAAGTTTCCCCAAAAGTGTGTGCATGGGCACTGGACAAAGCAGTAGCAGGGGGTGGTGCGGGAAAGGGACACAACGCATAAACTTGCAATTGAGCCAATTTGTAAAAGTGCGGCAAGCCCATTAACAAGAGTCACGACACAGTGTCCTGGGCAGGCATCATTGGACGGAAACGGAGCTGCCTGTCTGTCTGTCTGTCTGTCTGTCTGTCTGTCGTCGTCCAGGGCTAAAATCGAACGGAAGCCGGAACACCTGCTCCACTCTCCCAGCCCTATACAAATCCCCGACCCGACCCGACCCGAACCAGACTTAGACAACCCCCCCCCTAGCCCTGCTCATTGGTCATCATTGAAAGGCTTTTGGCTTGGGGTTTGCAGCGGCAGCGGCAGCATCTACTTTGCATTACAAGCGCCCACATTAAAATTAAAATAAAGTTTTCCACTCTTATGCGAGTGGCAGAGGGGGTGGGGGAGTGGGCGGGGTGTGGATAATATCCCTTTCAGTCCTTTCCTCTGGTTCGTACATTTGTTGTTTTTTTTTTTCTGTTTTTTCGTAGAACTACTCGTACAAATAAATCTAAAACTCGCACATTTCTGATGGATATGGACCACGTTCAGGACTTACGGAGCACGACAGTGGCAGGATGCTGGCTGGGGTGTGGGTGGGGGTGTGGGGTCAGTGTTGCATGGTTGAGATATGCCAGGATACGGGTCCAGCCGCAGTTGGCAATTCGCAGTTTTACTCGTATTTTTGCATTTACATCAGCCCACATGCATTATGCATACATATATACTTACACATATAGAGGAATCTACATGCACACACACACACACACACACACACACATATATTTATGTATATCTATCTGCGTCTGATGCTGTGCGTGTGTGCTCCTTTTTGGGCTCCTTTGTATACACTCTCCCACGCTGAGGTTGAAGCACGCTTTTGAGTTGATTTTAAGACAACCTTTTGGTGCAGCTATTTATTTATTTTCCACACAAAAAATAACTCCTTAAAATATTAAATTTCTTTCCATTTAAAATATATCATATGTATATGAAAATGTATTCAAATTAATTACTTAAGTTTTTTTAAATATATTTTTTTAAATGCATAATTTGAAATTATTTATTTCCTGTCATTTATTTATTTTATTTATTTTTATTTTATTTATTTTTATTTTATTTATATATATATTATATTTTTATTAATATTATAATACCCCTCCGAATGTCTGCTTAACTGGCATATTGCTAAATTAAAACCCCTTGCTCAGAGGCTTGTAGAGTATAGCATATGCCATCATCATCGTCATATCTGCATTATACGTGAGCTTTACTTAACATTTTCTTGTTGAATTTTCTGTTCAGTTGCTTTTTCTTTGTCCCTTTTTTTTGTACTTTGTTTTTGCTGTTGTTGTCTTCACTTTGGACTTTAAAACAAAGCGCAGGACACAACAAGAGGATGGCGCATGGGGGCAGGGACAAACAACAGCAAAAAAAAGAAAAGAAAGAAAGAGAAATGGATAAAAAAGAAATAAAGTATGCAAAAAGAGTGAAACAAAAATACTTTGGGCACAAAGGATGCAAGGGATAAAATAATATCCTTAAGCTACAAATGCAACATGAATTTGTCTTTGCTCGACCATTTCCATGTCCCCGCCCCGCACACCCCCCATCCATAGCTGCCTCTCACATACCCATCCCACAATGCGTCCCCACACGCAGCTGTGCTGTTGCTCTTTCTTCGAAAAAAGACAACAAAAACAACAACAACAACAACAACAAAGTTCTACATACGTACGTACATATATCGCATCTGCAGGAACGAGATGAAAACATGAGTTAAGATATCCACGATCCGACTATGAGATATCTTTTAAAAGAAAAAAAGAAATAAGGTTTATGTATATTTTACTAAATTAATAATTATTTATTAAAATATATGCAATAGCAAAGATATTTAATAGATATAATATTTATGCATTTTCAGCATCAGGAGACATCACAATCTTTCTATCACAATTTTTATTTTAAGCCTATATACTATAATACCTAAAATAGTAATTATATTTATTGACTTTTGGCTTTGTTTTATTTAATTCTAGATTACCTATATATATTGTTTTTTTACTTTGTTTTATTTAAATCCATATTGCCTATATTTATTGCATTTATTTACATGTATTCCATATGCTCGTTAGCCTCTACGATTAAAGGGTATCAAAAGGATACTCGAACTTTACAAATGCATGCACATTAGAGAGATTTGCTGTGTGCGTGTGTGGGAGCTTTACTTTCACACACACACACACACACACACACATAAAGCCAACGACTTTGGCGTCCTTTGGTCCTTTTTTTGCCTTTGCCTTTTGCTTCGACACTTATTTTAATTTATTTCATTTTCATTTATGTACAACGCTTCAAACGTCCTCCAGTTCTCCTTTACATGTGCTCTATCGGTCTGTCTGTGTGTAATTAAATAAAAACAGCCTTAAAGCAGGGTCACACGCACACGCACACACACACACTCATAATGGGTGTACATTCTTCAGCAGTCTTTTATTTTAATTGCCCTTCAGCTATGGATACGATTATTCCAAGCTTATCCATGCAAGCAGCAACACAGTCTGTTAATTACGAGAAAACAAAGAAAGTATCAGGGTCCCAATTGGCAAGTTATTAAAGTTAATGGATAACTAATTCAAAACAACAAATCTCAGCTCTCAGGACAATGAGCTTTGTTCGCTTTCAATATTCAAATTGATATTGAAACTATCACATTTGTGCACAAGGAAAAATATTAAAAGTACGCACAGACTAATGACTGAGAATTATAAAATAATACTACACACGTACGCGTATCGTTAATAGGGATCTGCAGCTACTTAAGTACTATCTGGCGAACGTGTAAAGGGTTTGCCAAAATAATTTAAGTTCATGTGTGTGCACTGCATATTGAACTGAGCATTCAATTTAATTCCTAAAATCTATGATCTATTTATGTAGATTTACGCAGAGATAACTAATTAGATTTATATAGAATTATACTTAGAATACTTAGTACATATTACGATTCTCTATCAGTCTTTAAATTTCGATGCATTTTCACATTTGCCAGCATTTTTAATGTATCGGATATACCCACTCGAAACTAATTTAATTCTTTTGGACCCATATGATACGTGAATAAATACAGACAGATATTTAAATGGACAGCGAATTGAGGTACATGTGTGACTAGATCAGGCATACTGCCAAGAGCTATCACAGTTTTTGGCCAGGCAATGATTTTGCCAATTAATATTTGAGTATTTTGTACATATAGCCATTAAATATAATGATCAAGATATATAATGAACATAATAATAGTCGTATGTTCCATATGTTTGTGTGCTCTATTCAAATAAATTTCTTTCTGACTGAATTAAACTTTGCAATCTTACCAGAAAGGAATATAGAAATGCCATTGCTCAAAGGTCTGCCATTCTTTTGGACTTGTAAAGGTAAATACTTAGTTGTATACTTACATACAGGCAAAATAAATATAAATTATAGACCTTTGCAGAATCCACGCATTGCGTATTTTAATGGATAGCTTTGAACATTTATCATCAGGCTGTGGTTGGCTGCATGCCAGAGGGGCAATTTCGGAAGGGAATCGTTACAGTTTTTACAATTACATTTCTTTGTTCTTTTGTTGAATCGATTCTGTGTCCTTTTTGGGTGAAATATTAATACTATTTTGAGCTGCGATCAATAGGATCGACATATAAATATTATTTGTTGTTAAAAGCTGATCAAATTTCGTCTCTCTTCAATCGAATTTGTACGAAACATGAATACAATTTTGACCTGTGATCAGCAGCAGCAGAAGCAGCAGCAGTTATATCTAAACTATAAAACTATCCGAATAAAATGCAATTAAAGTTTATCCCAAGTTCTCCTTGTTTGAGCGGACAAAGTATCCATCCCCTGTGCCTCCATTGGTCACCGACAGCTGGCTGTGGTCATCCCCGACGTGGGTGTCCTCTTCGGCTAAGGGAAACAAGAAACAAAACAAAGGATGAGTAATAGCAATAATGGGGGGTGGGGGGGAGACAATCTCAATCAGTAACACCGGCGGGCGGGGGCCCCCCCGCCGGCACCGCTACTTACCCCCCACCCACCCGGGGGGTCGGCGGGGGGTGGCCGGGGGCGGGCGGGCGGCGGGCACCGGCAACCTCCACCCATCAGTCGGGCCCCGTGGGCCCCCCCCCCCCCCCGCCCCCCCTGGGCGGGGCCCCCACGGGCGGCCCGGGGCACCGCGGGGTGGCACTGACCCACCATTCTCACTGCCAATTGTCGGACGCACTGTAACGGGAATGGGAACGGGAATGGGAGCGGATGAAGAAGCCACGATCCAAGCCACGATTATTCCACTTACCATTCGGTCCGAAGGGAACCAGGGCTCCGCTGGTTCCCAGGCAGCCATTGGACGGATAATTTGGCTTTGCCACTTGCCCCATGCTCGGAGTCGCAAGTGTGCGACGCACGGCGCAGCAAGGGGCTGGGAAGAGGCGGCCGGACTGCTGTGGAATCCGGTGGCCCAGTGCCTGCAAGCAGTGACGGCACATCTGCTGCATGCTGCCCTGTGGCTGCAGCCGAGCTTGTGGTGGCTGCATGGGTGCCTGTGGCTGTACCTGTGGCTGTTCCCGTGCCTGTGCCTGTGCCTGGTTCTCAATGGGCATGCGCCACTCGTCCGACAAGCGCCAACGGTCCGACATGCGCCGTTGCCGCTGCCGTTGCATGTGCGCAAGCGTTGCGTTGGCTTCGTTGTTTATGGTCTGGAAAATGTCCAGCAAATCGAGCACCGGTATAATGTTCTGGTTGGAGTCCAGCAGTGGTGGCATCATCTGGCTATTGAATGAAGCGCGCGCAGCCGGGCCACTTTGTGCTGCCTGTGGCAGTGCGTATATGGGAGCCAGCAGCGGGTCACGTTCTGCTCCAGCCGCTTGATGTGGATTGGCTGCCCCGTTTGCTTGCTCCCCTGCAATGGGAGCAAACGGCAGCAGTGACGGGCCAAGAAACTCAACATCTCGGACATCGTCCGGCACGTGAACGGGGCCGCCGAAAAGAATTTCCCTCAAGTCAGTTGCCGGCGATTGTATGGCTCCTGGCAATGGTGGCTGTGCCCCGTTGCGGTTGTGCATCGGCTCCTGGCTCGGTGCGGCGCTGTTGATCCACACAGATGAGCCACGAACCTCCTGCTGCCGTTCAGCTGCTGTGGCAGAGCCAGAGGCAGAGGCAGGCGGCACTGCAGGGCAACCTCTGAGCACGTCAGCGAATGTGGGCTGCGGTGGTAGGTCCGACATTGTTGCGTAGATCGTTGAATGTCACTTCACTTCGTCACACGGAATAGCTCACAAAGAATATATACGCATATATATTCTGAATCACAGATAAAATGATTTTACTTTGCCAGAAAACGAGGCGGCCGTCAGAGTTACAGGAAAAAGGAAACGTGCGTGTTATCGATAGGTTTTTCGGGACTTGCATTTCAAGATGGCGATGTGTCGTAAATCAGAGCTTCTGTCAGTGTTGAGCAGCAGTGTTAGTTAGTGTTGCTAGTGTAAGCACTCGTTTGAATTTATTTCGTGTATTGCAAATTTTGTGTTAAAAATTGTTGATAGAATGTCGCGGGAGTATGGCAACAGCCACAGCCACAGCCACAGCCTCAGAGCCATGAAGCTGCCCAAGGCTCTGAGCTCGTCCACTTCAATGATGGATCGCAAGCCTTTGTCGCCAGCAGCCGCCTACGCCAAGTGGGCCAGTCGCGAGATGACCCAGCGGACGAGATGCATGGAGACCAACAAAGAAGTATCCCAGTCCGTGCAGAAGTCTGCGGCAAAGGTGGCAAAGCCGAAATTGGTGCGTCTGGCGCCTCGTCAAGTGGAACAGGCAGTGCACTGGGAGGGCAGTTCCCCCACGCCAAGTGTCACCTTCTTGCCCAAGTCGCAGCTGTGGCCGGAGGAGATGCCCGAAATGATACAGCGACCTGCCGAAGTGGACGATGAACCGCCGCAGGTGCGCGCACCACCGCCATCGCCGCGTCTACGTAACTTGGACCTCAATCAGAAGGCCTTCTCGCGGCTCTTTGACGATGCAGTGGCCACCACCAAGCGGCGTCAGCAGCATGCCAATGCCGGCCAATGCTGACGGGCCAATGCTGACGGGCCAATTTGTATTATTTTATTATTCAGTTTCAAATAATTAAATTGAATGTTTTTTAAACTTGACTGCTGACTGTATTGTGCAACACTGGCACTTACTATCCATATGCAATCAGATCGGTCGATCGATCGGTTTTTTATTGATCGCTGTGATTATTTACTTAGTTATATTCACATTTTTAGAATAGCATTTAAATCTTGAATTATACGATTTATAGCCTGTTTACACTAGGGTTGAGCTATTGAGTTACAGCGAGAACAGCGTTGATATTCGGAAAATCGAACAAACGCAACCATAGCTCAGCTTTTGGCCACCACTTGGCCCTACTTGAGGCACTACTTGAGAAAAAATGATGTTTTCCAGCAGAACACAGAGCACCCAGCCAGCAAAATTGTATCCGCAAAGGAAGACAGTCGATAAATTCTGCACTGCAACGCTGCTCCCAGCTCAACTGGAAGGCCAGCTTGACGCATATAGTTTTCTCGCTCTGACTGCAGGCATTTCCCATAAGGCTATCTCTATCTCTATTTCTGCAGCTAGTCAGTCAGCAAAGTCCATTATTGGTGCGGAAAAACTCTCGCATCGACTGCTGAAAATCTTTATACATAATATTTCAAGACGCAACAATCTGAGTCTGCCAATGTGATCGCCTTTTCTGCGTATTTGCGTCTCTAATAACCCTTTCCCACTGGCTGCGTTTCCTATCGATATCGGACGCAAGGAAGCAGGACGCAGCACCAGTGTAAACAGGCTAAAAAACAACACAAATTCTCAATTTTCTCCCGAACATAGGAGGCTGTGTGGAGCCGAGACTGTATAGCTCAGCCGATTCCCCATTTGATTCAGTAACAAACAACAAGCAGACAAGTAAACAAGTAAACAACAATAAATTTATTCCAAAAAACTCATTTTCAAACATTAAAAAGGCAAAACGAATTAAAACAAAACGTAATTATGGACTTTGATGGCGGCCCAGCTACACGAACCCGTTCAAAATGCCGTGCACGCAGCTTGGCTCCAGCAAGCAATGCCCGTACGACCTGTCGTGCCACAAGCCGTGCAGCACAGCCGAAAAGCCGTACACCAAGCTGTGTGAAGGCAAAGGGACCACAGCCGGCCAAGAATATCAAGCAACGGAAGGGCAAGAACACTAAGACACCTTCTGCTCGTCTTCGACGCACACCGAAAGCAGCCGTCAAGGGAGGAAAAAAGCCAAAAGCCAAACCGAAGTCGAAATCGAAGAAGAAGGGTGTTCCCTTAAAAAAGTGTACATGCTCACCATCGGCGTTGATCGACGATAAGCAGTGAAAGTTAAATTCAAATTAAACTCTTTAAAAACATTATTAAATATATTTCGGCAAATCAAAAACAAAACAAAAAACCCACCACGTCTTTTTTTTTAATTCAACAGTCGAAAAGCAGTCTGCACAGCTGCATTCGAAACGCGCCATCTAGCGAGCATTAATCCATTCTTATATATTTTGTGCAAGCGTTTGAATATCAACAACAGAGGGCGCCACACGGCAAACAAAACGTTTTATTTAATTAATTAAACAATTAATTAATTACCTAAAACAATTATTTAAAAGAAATATATGTGTGTGTGTGTATCGATAATGTTTTGGGATTTTGTTGAGGCGACACCTGGGCTCTGGGATTTTCGCCAGCACAATAAACGGTCACACTGCGAAGCCAAAATCGAAAAATGAGAATTAAATTTTATTAAGAATTTCTGCTAAAGCGCTGCCCCGAAATACCAAAACAAACCACTCAAGTGCATCCATTAGCCGCCCCATGCTGATGCGTTCCACGTGACTGTTGAGTGTGTGTAGTCCGCAGGCAGAGGCACACACGGTCCGGTCCCCTTCCCAGACCCCGTTCGGATGTGGAGGATGTGCGCATTCGCGTTCCGTGCGAATCTCTGCTGGTCGATATAGAACTTCTGTGCCTGCTCCACCACTACGCCATCGATGTCTGCAGGCCCCAAAGAAGTCTGATTGCAAGCAAATAGAGCACACACACTTGACACCAGCCACCACCAGCCAGCAGACAGCAATCGTCAGGCATCCGTGCGGGCAAGTAGAATCAACAGCAGGCAGGCGGCATGGCCACCGCATCGTTGGATGCACTGCAGGCATTCCATGTGGACTTTAGCGAGCTAACGCTGCGAGAGGTGAACCATTGCATTGCAATACATTAATTGATAAATTAAATTAAATGATTTGTTGGCCTTACGCAGAAAGTTGGACACGGCTCCTATGGGGTGGTCTGCAAGGCTGTGTGGCGCGACAAACTGGTGGCCGTCAAGGAGTTCTTTGCCAGTGCCGAGCAGAAGGACATCGAGAAGGAGGTGAAGCAATTGTCGCGCGTCAAGCATGTGAATATCATTGCCCTGCATGGCATCTCATCGTACCAGCAGGCCACATATCTGATTATGGAATATGCCGAAGGCGGCTCACTGCATAATTTTCTGCACGGCAAGGTCAAGCCGGCCTACTCGCTGGCCCATGCCATGAGTTGGGCACGCCAATGTGCGGAGGTAAGCCACCAATCCATCCATTCTAGTCCGTGCATTTGCTTTATTCTCTTGCTTTCCTGCAGGGCCTGGCTTATCTGCACGCGATGACGCCAAAGCCATTGATACATCGCGATGTCAAGCCGTTGAACTTGCTGCTGACCAACAAGGGACGCAATCTGAAGATATGTGATTTCGGCACAGTGGCCGACAAGTCCACCATGATGACCAACAATCGTGGCAGTGCTGCCTGGATGGCACCCGAGGTAGCTTATCCCAGATGACAGCTGAAATTAAGAGCTAATGAATTTTTGTTATGTTGTTTTTTTTTAAGGTATTCGAGGGCTCAAAGTATACGGAAAAATGCGATATATTCAGCTGGGCCATTGTACTCTGGGAGGTGCTGTCGCGCAAGCAGCCCTTCAAGGGCATTGACAATGCCTACACCATACAATGGAAGATATACAAGGGTGGGTGCTGCTTTTTAATCCATTTAAAACATTAAATAAATTTGTTGACTTGAACAGGTGAACGTCCGCCGCTATTGACGACCTGCCCCAAGCATATTGAAAATCTAATGACAGCCTGCTGGAAAACGGCACCCGAAGATCGGCCATCCATGCAGTATATTGTGGGCGTTATGAATGAGATTGTCAAAGACTATATGGGCGCTGACAAGGCCCTGGAATATACATTTGTGAATCAACAGGTGAGCGTCTAAATGGAAACACACCCCCTCCCCCCCGATAATTTCTAATTCCCTAATTGCTTGATTCTTACCCAAAGATTGTCACCAAAGAGAGCGACGGCACTGTGGCCGCTCAATATGATAGTAGTCTCAGTTCAACAACGGATCTGAGTCTCTCGTCCACACAGTTAACACCGACAACGGCGGCCAATGCCAATGCCAATGCAAATGCCAATGCAAATGCAACAACGACTAGCTCAACGACCGAAAATACTACCTCATCATCAACATCATCGGCAGATATAACGCCAACAAATTCGGGCCAACTTGACAATAATCCTCTATTCCAAATGAGCAGCAATCGCTGGGACGCCATACCCGAGGAGGATAGCAATGAGAGTCAGACGAACGATAGCTTCAATTTAACGTCCTCCGTGGAGGCAACACAGCGACTCGAGACCATACGCAATGGCATGATTCAAATGGCCTGCACACCCATGGAACAGCTCACCCTCGATGTGGAGGCGGTGCGTACTTTTGAATGATAAACTCACCCCACTACTTACTCCCACGTGATCTATCACTCACTCTCGGTTCTCTCTTCTCTTTAGAATGGCTTCGATTTGAGTCGCAGCGAGAGCAGCAGCAGCAGCACGCATGGTGAGTGCTCAAACCCAACTGGCGGCATTTATTGTTGGTCTTTGCGTCGTTGTCGTTGTCGTTGTCGTCTCATTGTCTCCCATGAATCACACGCATATTGGACGCTGCATACGATTTGGTGGCACTTGTTTTTGTTTTGGTAAACAGAAGAACGCGCCAAATGCAGGCCATGTCCGTTCCGGAGGGGTAAACGCTACCACCTGTAAATAGTCAAAAGAAAGAATTCTAAAGCCTGCTAAACACCACAAATGCAATTGAAAAGTTCACTTAAATTAGTCAATTATGGACACAGCATAGACTGCTCTCTGCCATTAAGTTCATTCCAATTTCCTCGCAAATAGACTCGGGGGGAAATGTTCCGATTTCTGCAGAGCTGTCCAAAATCTCTTTTTGCACTTTTAGAAATGTTCTGAAATTTCCCAGATCAAAGGGGTAAAAAGGGTAAAAGCAAAGGGTATCTAGAAGTCGAGCAGCCGCCACTCGGATCGAACAGCTATATAATTCGAAGTTGTTGTGGCACATAGCTTGGGGCATTGTCAGCTCTGGTGGTTGGTTTGTGGTGGCACCGACAGCTGTTGGCTGGCTGGCTGGCTGGCTGTGTAGGTGACGCATTTTGTAAACAATGCATTAGCCCCATCTCTTTCTGATTTGCCATCTCTTTTTCGTGCCGCAAACTCAATGAATATTTTGGTTAATTAGCCGCTGCGGTGTCTCTGCCTAATGCATAGAAAAAGTCTTTTTGAACATTATTCAATTGTCAATGTCTTTGTAGTCTGACTGTATTTGTGGCTATGACTGTGGCTGTGGCTGTGCCTGAGCTGCATAAATTATAAATATTTAGTGCACTCATTCGCAACGATGGGTCACTAGCGGCCTCTAAATGCTCTAGGAGGTTGCATCCTACCTACCGCTACGACATTGTTTCGCATGCAAGATTGATACATACGTTGATATCTGGTATGATTTCACTTGCCCACAAAGAGACAGAGCATATAAATTACAGGGATTAATTAATTAATTTTTAATATTCTATGCCATCTCTTTAGATACGAAAGTATCCGATTTTCGATACCCATTTTAAAGTTTACAGACAGTACATTAAATTGGGGACCTATTTATAAGTAAATTCAATCAACATCCATTTTCATGGGCATTTAATTTTTAAAGCCAAATTATAAATTTCCTAACAATTCTGAAATTTATTTCAAAATATATGAAAATCACTTAAGACATATTTTAATCGAAAGGTATTTAGTGATGCTTTGATTTCAATTGGCTTAACAAATATTTTTGTAATATTCATGGGCATTCTCATTAGCAGCATTCGCTTGTGCGTCTCAAATCGAGCAGCAAGGTGCCCGCATGTTTTTAGTAAAGGCTCCTTTAAATAGCGATTTCTGAGCGTTGTTTTTTCGACATTTTAATACGTTTACTACCCATAAAAATGGTACTTAAAAATTCTACTTAAAAATTGTTCTTTATGTTCATTTTTGCTACTCTTTTTGGATAAAATTTAAAACATTTTTGATTGGCAATTTAATCTATTTAATTCCAAAATGAGTACCCAACGAATTAATATTCCATCTCAATCGATGGGATATAAAAACAGGAACAGATTTTTGTTAACTGAAGTCAAGAAAAATATAAAAATCGTTATACCTCGTTGGGGATGTTAGGGCAAAAAACAGAGGCACAACCAAATAGTTGCACGAAAATTTTGCTGCACAATTAAATAATTTGTAATTTGTTAGCTAGCCTGGCAATTTCGGGACAGATTTATAGCCAAAGGCATGCTCCGTCGCTGAATAGAACAGCGAGCACAAAGGGATGGGGAGGGGGAACGTGATGGTGGGGGGGCAGGCAGGTTATATCGTACAAAAAACGCACACATGACGATGCCTCAGCATCAGTCTCCACAGTCCCGCCGCCATGATATGACTCACCCGGCAATAATCTCACTTTTATTTTGATTTCGTCTAAATGGCGCACACACACACACATGTATATATATATATAGATCACACACACACACGTATATGAATATATATAGAGAGATCTACACAGATATATGTACATATATATTTATAAAAGTCCGAAGGAGAACGTGTGGTAGCAGAGCCAAATCGTTTGGCTCTTCTTTGACACAGACAGACCGCGATCCCAGAGGCAATCTAACCACTCAATGTCTGCCCTCACTCCCCACTATATACGATATATACTAAATATAATATAGCATAGATATGCATAGAGTTCACTTTGCAATGTGTAAATAGTAAATGCATCAACAGCCCAGTGGTCGAGGATACTTTTGAGATTCGTTTTTATTCGTTTTTTTTGTTTTATTGTATCATAGAGTTCACTTCACTCACTGGCTGGCTGGCTGGCTGGCTGGCTGCTGCGTCAGTTCTACGAGCTATAGGAAAATGATTCCCATTATATGATACCATCCCACTCTCTCTGTCTGTTGCTCTCTCTCTCTCACTCTCCTTCCACCCTCTCGTTGGGGCGATCTGTTCGAGATTTCCCAATTGCAGATGCCAACTGCATTAATCATCGAATTTGATCAATGTTCGGGGCCTGGCATCGGAATGAATTTGAATGAATCTTCATCAGGTTTTGGTTCGTCATGGAAAATGCTACGAGAGTAGTTGTGGGAGGATCCCCCCAGCCCCTCGTCTGCTTAGAGATTACTCGTAGAAATTGTTAACCATTTTTGGGTGTTGTATGTGATCTAATCATCTAAATGGAGATATAAGATCTATACTCTTTTTTTTTGTAATTTAATTTTTATTTTTGATAACCAATTTTTAAAGCTTTTTGGGATATTTTTGTTGTACATATTTTTCATATTCCAATTATTTTACGTTTTTTGAAAACAGTTTTTAAGCCAAAGTTTTGTTTTTTTTTTTTTAGAATGAATTCTTTATGTATAAATTGTAAACGTTATTTGATATTTTATTGACTTATTTTTAATGGCTCCAAAAATATTAGAAAAATTTTTTGTTGTTTGTTTGGTGACTATTCGAATTTTCTGGACATTATTTGCTTGAAGATTTAATTCATTAAAAACTTAAAACTTAAACTTAAGTCAGTATATATGTATTTTGATTTTTTTGTTAGGAATGATTTTAAAAGAAGATTTTAGTCAGTATTTAATTGTAATTTTGGGTCTTTTTCATCCATATTTGTATTTACGAAAATTGCATTTAATTTCATTCGAAAGGTGATCATGATCCATGAAGGAATCCACACATTTGATAGCTCTGATAATTTCTGAATCCTTGTTTTTGTATGAATGAGAGAGGGGGGAGCGGCAACTGTCTGGATATGGAATCATAAATCACTAAATAGATTTCAATCCCCCCTCAGATGAGTGCCAGCCATTTAGCGTGGCAATCTTTGGGCGGACAAAGCACATCCACTTAAGCCACCCCCAGCCGCCAATCATCGAGCGATTTGCAACCCCATGGCTGGTGGGGGGAAATGCTGCCACAATATACTCATTCTGGGCGCGTCATCAGCAGCAAAGCAGCAGCAGCAGTGATCCGTACCGTCTCCGTCTCTGCCCCATCTCGGCACCATCTTGCCACGTCTGCCGAAACGCGACGGCGTTCAGGCGCAGGCAGAAGATCCCCGGCGAGAGTCGTCTGTTTGCTTGGATGCCTCCGTCTCGGTCTCGGACTCGGTCTCGGCATCGGTATCGGTCTCTGTGTGTGCCTCAGTCTGCGTCCGAGCGCCGTGCGGTCTTGAGTGCTCTACGAGATGTTACGGAATTATCGGGCGACGCACCGAAACGCGCGAAGCTTCGTCAATTGCTGCCGGACTCTGGCCAGAATCGAGTTTGCGAATAACACACGCCCCAAACAGATTCATATCTGACCAAGAATCCCACAGAACCCGCCACAAAAAGACCCAAAAAAAAAACAAAAAGAAAATCAAGTGAAATTTCCAACAGTTTTTACTATTTGTTTGTGGTTTGTTTTCCCCAAAAAACGATTCAGTGGAAAATCAACAAGCACATAGAGACCCAGGGACCGACCGACTATCTGGCGGTGTGTGCGCTCGTGTGTCTGCCTGTGTGTGCGTGTGTGTGGGGGAAAACACGTCATCGGAAAAATAATAATAAAAATAAAAAAGAAAACAGAAAAGCAGACATCGGGAGGGAGAAAGATCGATCGATCTTTCAGTTGGAAACAATGTGAAGGATTTCCTACGCATGACACATACAAAACAACGCAGCAGCCCTCCTCTAGTTCGAGTCTGCTCTTAACATTATTTGTGAAAATGAAAATGATCTAGAACCCGGGGAACAGACATTGCATAGTCAAGCCCTTAGGGGAACCGAATCGAATTGAACCGAATAGTTGCCACAACCACAGGAATTCAAGATGTGTGACACGCGGGCTCTGATCAACACCAAACAGACCAACGATCTGCACAGTTGTTGGATCATATATAGTAGGTTATAGCCCCCCTCCCCCTCCTCCCACCTCCAATGCGATTATGGATTTACAAACTAGATTACATAGTTTTTTAAGGAATTGTTTTGGGGCATCCATCGCTCCCTCCCACTTCAATTCGAAGCTAATTTATGAACAAATTTTATTTCTTTGAATTTGAATCATTTTAATAGAAACACAAATTGATTAAAAATTCTGGGATCTTTAAGAGCATTATTATCTGTTTGTATAAATTTGTGTGATTCATTTTTGGAAACGAAAATGATTTAAGGAAAATAATTGCAAAGTTTTTATTGCCTTTAAATTGATAATGATTTGGGGGACTTTTATTTAACAGATAATTCATGTTTATTTTTAAATTACCCTTAAATACAATAAAATTTGAAGATTTTATTAATTTAAAATATTATAAAATCCACATGAATAAAAAGCTCACGTACACTGACTGAGTACGGGCATAAAAGTAGAGTCGCGGCCACTGAAGTGAGTCACAAAGTTCCCTTTCCTTTTTGTCTGTTAACGTTAGAAGGGGTTTTAGCCATATTGCGATCTTGCAATCGAGAATGTATTTATGTTAACAAAAATTGCAATTAATAATTATCCGTTGCGCTTCTTGCAGCCAAAAGCGATGGGCGCGAGCGACTCACGGTGACGGACACCAAGCCGGTGATAATGACCACCACCGATTTGACGAACAACAACAGCGATGGCCACGGCCATGGCCATACGAATGGATTGCTGAGCCATGCCCATGCCCATGCCCAGCAGGAGCAGGATCTGGAGCAGGAGGAGATTAACAATTCGCTGGACGTGGACGTAGATGCGGATGAGAATGACGGCACCGAGCAGTCGCTGGCCGAAATACTCGATCCGGAGCTGCAGCCAGAGCCACCCATACCGAATAATGCCGAATCGCAGTCCATCTACCGTGAGCATCGTCACATGGCCAAAGAGTACCTGAGCGTGGACACGAACCTCTACTATGCGCAGGACTTCAAGGATAAACTGATACTCCAGATGGATCTCGCCGAGCGCGACCAGAAGCAGGAGCTGTTGCGCAAGATTAAGGACAAGGTAAAGGAACCTTTAGATATTTATGCCACAAGCATCTTTAAATATTATTTTTTTTTTGCGCAGGAGGGACTCCAGAGCCTGTACAACAATCTGCAGCAGCAGTGGGAGAAGCTGCCCGCCTCGCGACAACTGCAGGCCGGCCACCATCCGCACTTGCATCCACATCCCCATCCACTGACAGGCGGCGCCACTGGCCAGGTATGGGGGGGCAACGGTGGCCAGGAGGTGGCCGCTGCTGCTGGTGGCAACATAAGCGGCGTCGATACAGTCGAGAACGATGGCTGGGTGGTCATACCGCCACATTCTAACGCGTAGTGCCAGTGCCAGTGCCAGTGCCAGTTGAAGTCGAAACACCCATTCAAATCGCATATGACTCTCTAAACAAAATAAGTTAAAGCTGTAATATCTGTAAACCCTTAATTTAATCTGTATCTCTAGCTATAGAACTATATATCTGTGTGTATGTGTGTGTTGTGTGGGTGTATTATTTTTTTTTCTGCTACGTTTTGTGTCTCGTTTTAAGCGTATTTTGTTAAACTTAAGTCTTAAGGTGAGCTTCTGGCTCATGTGTTTATTTCTTTGTACGAACGGACAACTTTCAACCCAAAGGCATTCTCTGAACACTTAAATATTTTTTAGGCTTAAACTATTTTACTATATGCATTATACACATACGCACCAGAAACACACACACACACACCAGACACAGACATCTGTCCAAGGACAGAGATGCCAAGGAGTAAACCAAAAAAAAAAACAATATAAAATCACATCACAAAAAAAATACAAAAAAAGAATTTTGTTTTTTGTATTTAAGTAACTTGCGCGATCCTGGCCTTTGGAATATAGAAGAGTCCCTTAATCAGTTCGAATGACAGCATATATTCTGGAAACAATTCGATTATTTTGGCTAGCAATCACAGCAGCGAGCAGCAATGTATTTTACTTTTGCATTCTCTGTACCGAGCCTCGGACTTGAGTCTCCAAATTAGAATTAGAATTCTACTTGTGCGCCACTCACAATGCTTGTTTTTATTTGCTTTTGTTTCCCATGCATTCTTGTATATTGTTTTTGCATTAACGGGAATTTTTCCTTGTGCTTCTGACTGGCTCCGGTGCCAAAGAATAAATCTCGGTGCAAGAATACTTCCTCTTGCTTAAATCTATTCAAGTCGAACCTGAAATAAGATCAGGATTAATGTTAGGATACTTTTTGGAATAGAAATTTGCTGTATCTGCATTAATACATTCCTCCATTCCATATATGTACATATGTATGTACATCCCGCAGGACTTTTTATATATCCATGACAATGTGCAGACTACAAGGAGAATTTACAAGCAGCATGATTTTTCCTTTGTTTAGCACAAAAAATCATAATTGGATAAATAAATAGAAGGAACAACAACATTTGTGTTCTTTATATCATAAAAAACAGCCTGGGAGCGGCAGGGAATGGTTTTAAAGATATACAAGTATATTCTATTTAATATGCACTATTTTGAGCCGGTGCTTGGCACATTTATTTGTCTGTACAGGCAGCCGCGACGCCGTTACCGCCCATTGCAGCTTCTCGTATGTATAATTGTATAATTATTCTAGTTTTAAGTACATGAACTTGTTTGTAAATATTAACGCTACAATTAATGTATGTGTTTTGAGAATCGTTAAATTCGTTTAGGTGTCAAGAATTGTGTCAAGAATTTCCGTGATACAAAGAGCGCTGAGCTGAGAGGAGGAACGCCCATTGAGTGCGTGTATAGCGTCTAGTGTAGTCTGTAGGCTAAAGTCTTCTGTGGTAGAGTGTTAAAAAAATAGTAGAACGAAAACACGAACGAAAAATAGGAGTACATTTAGGAATCACAGATGGGTACATAGAGGGCGGCGCATGTGGACTCCCAGACATCGGAGGGCGTGTCCCACGAATCCTTGCGATGCCACCAACACTTTCTATCCACATTGTAGGCCATTGTCGCCGAACTGGCCCGATCGATGGTCTCCGTGGAGTCGAGGCCGCCCACAAAGAATATGGTGCGACCCATCATCGTAATGCCCGAGTAGAATTTTGGTGCTGGTATGCGTGTCTCCACCTGCCACGTATTTGACTTGATGCTGTACGCATAGATGTGCTGCACCAGGACACGGGTCTCGGCCTGGTTTTCGTGCCAGCCACCGCACGCATAGATGACATCATCGCAGGCCACCAGGACATGATCACAGCATTCGATGGGCATTGGTTCAAGCTCCAGCCACGTCTCGACCTTTGTGTCAAAGCACCAAAAGCTTGGCAAAATGACGGCCATATAAATGCCACCTGAAACGCATAAAAAACACACACACAGAATTTAGCGAACGCCTTCAAACAACGTCCACAGGCAAAAAAAACCTACCAGAAATATACAGCTTATCGCGCACAACAACGCCGGCATGCTGGCTGCGATTCTCCTGCAGGCAGGGCATATACGACCACTTGTTGTCGGCGAGCGAGTAGCGTTCCACATTCGAGGCACGACGCATGCCCTCCTCGGTGGTGTCATCGTTCTCCACAATGCCACCGACCGCATACAGATACTTGTTGCCGACGGCATTCAGCGAGAAACGGCAACGGTCCAGCTGTATGGGCGCTATCGTCGCCCAGGAGTTGCGCAGTGGGCAATAGCGGAAGCCAAACGGATGGATGTACTCCTTCAGGCACACATCATACGCACCGCCGACAATGAACAGCTCGTTGTTGAGCACGGCAGTTCCAAAGTTGCCTGCAATGGACGAGCAAGCAAACACACACGTATATAAAGGCTAAAGGATTCAAATTACTCCAAGGACCAACACCTTTAAGGGGACAGACCGACTCACATTGGTCGATGTGTGGTATGGTTGTCAGTTCATACCACTTCATTTTGGTTGGGGAGAAGCACATAATCTCATTGGTAAGACCCTTCCACTCGAAGCCGCCGATCTTGAGCAGACTCAGCTCCATGCCACGCAAATTGGTGGGCAAATCCCTCACCGTCAGATCCTCCAGCGCACGCTCACCCTCGATGAGCCGCGACAGATACAGTTCGCGTATGTAATTAAAGTAGCTGGCTGGCAGCGGACGCTGCACCTGATCGTCAATCGAACAGTTCATGGCCTCCACTACGTGCAGCTGCTTGTAGTTGATGTGCGGCCAGTTGATGAGGCGAAACAGATCAAAGGCAACCGCATCATCCAGCCGCTGGTCCAGGCAGTAGGCGCACACCAGACGCGCCAGCTCCTGCTCACTGACATCAATCGGATAGTTGCTGCTCAGTATGAAGCGCATCTGATCAACGCTCAGCTCCTTGAAGTCCGGCCCAGCCGAAAACTCCTTAAAGTGGCAGCACATATAGCGAAAGGCGCGCGCCGATAGCCCCAGCTGGCCATAGATCTCCGCCATGGTGGCCACAGCCAAACAATTGTCCAGCCCAATGCGATGCTGCAGAAAGAACGTGCAGCGATCAATCACATCCCGCACCTGGACAATGCTGGCGGCGGCCAGTGTCTCCTCGATGTTGTCTATGTTCAGCTCTAGCCGAGAGGTGTATATGTAGTCCAGAATGGAGCCCATGGCTCGCCCTGTGATGCCATGCAGGGCAATCTCCTTTTTGCGCGTCTCGATCATGGCACTGTCGGCGAACATGGCGCAAAAGTAATCACTGCTGGCCGCCAGTACCACACGGTGGGCCTGCAAGGAAAGATTGTCATCAGCATTGGTACTCCCAAGAGCAGAGACACCGCACCTGGAAGCTTATTCCACCGGCAATCAGTGTGACATCGGTGAGCTTCTCTTCGCGACGCAGCTTATTCAGCCCGCTCAGTAGGCTGTCCTCCTCGACATTCGTTTGTGTCTGGGCCGATGACATTCTGGACATGTACCCGAAACAGAAAACAACCTTACTCAATGTGGGTCTCCCGTCACTCCCAAGGTTGGGGAAGCCCGTGCGACACCCAGCTGCCGCTGCTGCTGCTGCTGCTGCTGATGCTGCTGCTGCCGGTTCCGGCGATAAGAACGCGAAAGTCTGCCTTGCCTTGCTATAATTAAAAGTTTGTTATTGATAGCAGAAGCGCGTCGCAGTCGATTGCAAAAGGCCCTGGAGCGTCGCTGGAAGGGGGGGAGGGAGAGAGAGAGAGAGAGAGCTGCACCGTTGCACAGTCCAACTGTTGTTTAGTTTGGCTCCGTTTCTTCTGCTGTTTCTTTGAACACCAAATTGGCAATTTCTTAGCTATTTTTTGTGCCTCAATTGATTTGCAATATTCTGGTCCAGTCCACTCTTTTCTTTTCACACTATATATATATATATATATTAAGTCCTCCACAAATATACTACCTTCTCTTTTTCATAATATACCGTAAATATACTGAGGAAAACCAGATTCATCAATTTTGATATTCGATTTCATATTACTAGCTAGTTAGGACATTAATAACTAAAAATATCATTTTATCATAAAGATGAATATATTTTTTACAATCTGGCAAATTTTTTGGACTACCATTTATTTCATTACTTATAAAATAAGGTTTAAACAAAGAAGGTCAACAATAATGTCCCATTTTTACATGGTAACTACACGGTAGCTACACAGTAACTACACATTTGTTACATATCAACGACTTATTTGTGGAGTATGGCACTTTGTATACCTTTTCCTTTCAATAAGATGGATTTTAAATTTAGTGACAATTTTCGAATTTTCACTCATAATACAAAAACAGTTTATAAAATCGATCAAATCAAACCTTAATTAATGTCGAAAGAGAGCACTCAAAACGCTATCCCGGACTCATTTTTGCGCTGAACGAATGTGATCTCGCTGGTTGGCGATAGTCTTATCGTTTATCGCACAACAATTCTGGATACGTTTTGTCATTGCTGAAATCTCAGATAACTTTTAGATAATATCAGCTGATAAATATATAGATTGTTATTCAAGATAATTAATAGATAATATTTGCGACACCCTGCTTGAGTTGAGTGTGTGTTTGTATATTTACGGCATATTTTGAAAATTACGTTTCTGAGTCACACTCGACAAAACAAATCAAGTGAAATATTTATTTTTCCATATATTAATATACTTTTTAAAATGACCGCCAAATACTGACATTGACCGCTCTCAATTCGTGGTGGTTTTTCAAAATGTTCTCTCTTTTCCGAGGTGGAGAGAGCGTTTTCGTGGTGACTTTCCCCTCATTTTCGTGGTGTGGCAACATGTATCTTACGGTAACGTAAATTCATGGTTGCGACGTTCCCGTAAGATACATTTGATTTGTATGGGAAAAAATTCAGCAACATGGGGAAATGAAGTAGCTGCATTGCTGTGCAACTTTGGCACGGAATGAGCAACCATCTGCATACCTTGGGAAAATGGATATTATAGACTTGAGATATTGTTTGTAATTTCAGGCTCCAATTAATGCAGAAACTAGTCAGTCTCTTTTTTTAAGACATCAACGAAATTTTGTAGCTCACGGGTACCAATAATAGGTATCAGAACCGTGATAAATTTATATATAGCACAAAACCATGTGCATTTATAGGTAAAAATATGTCAATCTATGACAAAATCATTATTAATGTTTCAACGGAGCTTTCAACAATAAATTTAACATCAATTAAAGAAAATACGGTATACAATAGTCCTTATGCATGGAAGAAACTTGGTTTCCCAGCAACAGTGACGTCACATTTAGTCAACATTTACGTTTTATGCTTTGGCCGTTTTTGTTTGAACCTTATTACGTAAACAATCCAATGAAAAAGAGCTCTGGAAACTAGCCAATCCTAAACAAAATTCATTGAGGAATTGGATAAAATTATTTTTTTAGGGCTGAGAGGGCCAACTATCTAGTAATATTAAACTGAATAACAAAATTGAGGAATATCAACTATCAAAACTATCGCAGAACCATCGATAGTAGAGGCTAGCTGTAAAATATCGGTACTATCGATAGTGCTCTCGATGGTTTGACACCTCTAACACACACAGCTTGTTTTGGTCGCCGCCGCGAAGTGAATTTTTTTCTGAATCGGACCAAATAAATGATTCGAATTCGACCATTAATAATTGTGTTTGTTTTATTTTTGGTTGATTCATTAATTAATTAATAGCGGTAAATACGAAAGAGCAGCAGCAACAAACACTGTGTCGCGGCCGTGGCGTGAGTTTAATTTTTTTTCTTGTGTGTGTTTCATACTTTTTTTTCTTCTGGGGAATCGTGCATTTTGAAGAGCGAAAGGAAAAAGCGAAAAGTGTTCAAAAGTGCGTCTGTCGTTAGCAAGGGGGTCTGGGGGGGAAGAGTCAGTAAAAGCGGTTGATGAAGAAGAAGAATGTGAGGAAGTTGTGGCGGGAGGCATTCAAATCATTCAATATATCTTCGTAATATATTTTGTATATACATACGTATATATATTTTTTTCCTACGCTGCCGCCAATTAATGCCATCGGCGGCAGCGACGCCACCAAGCAGTGTCACAAAAACAACACCAACACAAATACAAATACAAAAAAAATGAAGAGTAATAAAGAGCGGCGACTGCAGAAACAATTGTGTTTTTGCAATGTGAGCATTAAAGAAATGAAAACGGCTCTTTAAACAAATATGTAAACGGGCAAACAACTGAAAAAAAATATAACACGATGAAGCAGCAGAAGGAAAGAAGAGAAGCGGCAGAGTCCCAAAAAATGCGTGTGTGTGTGTGTGTTTGTGTGTCTGTTTGTGCGTGCGGCTCGCCACATGAGGAAATGGTCAGCGTCGACGTCGACGTTGGCAGCGTGCGCTTAGTTACAAAAAAATAACGAAAAAAACAACAACAAGAAAACCTGACTCATTTTGTTGTTATCCTTCAATTACTGTTATTCTTATCAGCCGCAGAAAAAAGAAGTGTGCGTGCGTGTGTGTGTGTGTTTCTGCTTCTTTTACTTTCTACTTCTTTTCCTCTTCTAATCCACACTCCCTCCTCCCACATTGTCCTGCAGAGTCTCATACGAAGTGTAAAAAGACAACAACAAAAAGTAGATTAAAAGCAACGGTACAAAAAATAAGGAGCTGAGCAGCAGCAGCAGCAGTGAAAAAAGAGAAGCAGCAGGCAGTCGCACGACGGCGACGATCAGCAGAGAGCAGCGCAACAGGAACCACCTCAACTGCTCTCTCTCTCTCTGTCCCTCTCTCTCGTGCGCTATTTCTCCCGGTAAGTTCTACCTCCCTCTCCATCTCTTAATTGTTGTTTATTTGTGAATAATTGGAAATTGTATTTTGGTGTAAATCTAAACAAAACGAATGAGGTGGAAATGAAACGCTGTAGAACCGTAAGAAGAGGAAGAGAGCAGCCAGCAGAGAAAGAATATTAGAACTGTCAGGATAGGCAAAAGGAAGCAGTAGATCAAATCTCTGAGAGCAGGAAGAAGAGTCTGAAGTAGCAGGAGATGAGGAGAAAGCAGTACAAGAAGACGGTCAAAGGCAGAAGGAAAGAAATTAAGTAGATGGATCAGAACAGAAGGACAGAGCCCGCCGCCACTGCTGCGCTCTCTCCTCCTTCCCCATATTCTCCTTCTTCTTTTGTCGTTTCACATTTCCCGTTTCACAACAACAACAACAAACACAAACAGCGAAAGTTGTCTTCCTGCTTTTGTTGTTGTTTCTCTTTCTTCGCGCGCTCTCCCTATGGAGTGGCTTTAAGAAAGAGAGAAAGGCGATCCGTAAAGCTTTGTCTCATTCGCCGCCATGCTCTTCCTTTTATTGCTCCTCTTTGTTCTGCGTTCCCTTAAGCTGGCAGTTCTCTTTTTTGCAGCGATACCCTCTACTCGTTGAGGCATGACTGATCATCCCTGGACGCAGGACGACTCTTCCCTGAACTCCAATTGGAATTCACATCACAGTTACAGGGTATCCCTCCCAAGTCGACCCGTTTTTCTTTTGTTCTTTTTGTTGCAGCAGTAAAATAATTGCACATTTATTTAATTTTTGCCAGCGACTTGCCGTCTTTCGTCGCCTTGAAAACCTTTTGAGCAAAAAAAAAAAAAAACAACACACAAACAAAAACAAAAGGGGGAAAAAATATATGTATACAAAAAAAGAAGGTTAATCAACACAACAGCAGCAACTGTTGGGGCAAGTTCGTTTGCCTCGTGCTCTCTGCGGAAAAAGGTGAAGACAGTTGTGTTCCCAGGCCCCCCCGTTCACCGTCACTCAGTTGTCTCAGGCTTTTGGCTTGTCCCAAGGTTTTATGTAATTTGTATACCCTTTCCTTAACAGCGGATATGAGAGGTTTTTCGATTAAAAATGAAGGAACAGATTCAAGCAAAAGATCATATTTTTTGAGATTTTAATTGTGGGAGGATTTCTGCTTGTAGTAAAACATTTATCCATCTTGTTCGCTTCCAAAATAATAAAAATCTGTCAAGGAACAAAGTTTTATACGAGTTTCCAATAATAACTAATGCAATATATTCTATATATTCAAATTTATGTTCAAACGATATTTCTTTTCCCTTGTTTTGTGTGTGTTCCTTTATCGGGCCATAGAGAGAGAGAGAGGGGTAGAGAGTATCCCATTCGTCGCCGTACCCCTTTGCCGATGGATCTCTTCTCTCATTTTGTTTTCTTTGTTGTTTTTTTATTTGTATTACTTTTGCTTCTTGCGTGCAACAATCGACCAAAAAAAAAAAAACAACAACAAAAACTGAGGTAATAACAGCAGCAGCAAGCAGTAACCGAGCGTAATCGTGATTTGGGGCCACAATTCGACTTCGACTTTGAGTTGCTTCGAGTCCGAAAATGCCCGTTATTATTGGGCCAGCATTCGGTTATAAATTTGAGATTATTGTTGCAACAATTGTTGCCACCAATTTGGGTTTTGGGTAGTGCAATGGAATGAGTGCTGGTTGGGTTTTCAGTAATTCTTTGCTCATTAAACCTAATTATCCATTGAATATACATATTTACCAATTTCCCATCAAAAGATAAAGTGGCAAAAACAAAAAGAGTTCATGTCAAGGTATAGATATATCGATCCAATAGATCTTCAATAGGATGATTTTCCATTCAAAAGATAATCTATTGCTTCCTACTCCCCCTTCACCATAGATTTGTACTACTTTATACTGCTTGCTTTGCTAATTTTTGCTCATATTCAATTGCTTGCTTTCACCTGCTAGACTGCTTTAGGTTATAATGTGTAGAAATGGATACCCAAAGGATCGGATCCGTGATATTCCTCCTAGAACCACTCCAGTTCTCTCTCTGTGTTCTCGAATGAGCCATGTCGTCAGGTAATGCTCCCTCTCTAAACC